CCCATCCATTGAACCCACTAAGATTGAAGCTGAACAGAAGTCTCAAACAGAGGCTAAACCTTCTGTAGAAGCAGTGGAAAGTGAATCTCCAAAGGAACCACCTGCACAACCAGATGAAGGTGATTCTGAATCTGAGAAAGAACCAGAAGATGTTCCACCCATTGAACTTCCTGATATTGAAGCTGAACAACCTGATGCACCAGATGAGGGCAGATCTGTGAAAGAACTAGAAAATGTTCCATTCATTGAACCCACTGAGATCAAACCTGAACAGCAGCTTGAAACAGAGGTTGAACCTCCTGTACCAGTGGAAGGTGAATCTCCAAAAGAACCAGAAGATGTTCCATTCATTGAGCCTACTAAGATTGAAGCTGAACTGCAGCCTGAAACAGAAGTTGAGCCTTCTGCCAAACAAGTGGAAGGTGAATCTCCAAAAGAACCTGAAGATATTCCAACTGAGATGGTAGCTGAACATCAGCCTGAACCTTCTGTAGAACCAGGAATCCAGTTGGAACCAACTGGGATAGATACTCAACCTGAATTTGAATTTAATGATTCTAAAACATTGGAAGAATCTCATGAAAAGGAAGAAGTTCTGAATGTTCAAATGGCAGTTGTCTCTGTTGAAGCAGCACAGACACCAATCGTCATGGAAGAATCAAGACCAGTAACAGAAGTTGAAGCAGATAGGTCAGATATAGAATTGGGTGTTGTGGAAGCTGAAGAAGCCACAGAGTTGACAGGAAGCAGCCTTTCTGAATGTATAGAACCAGAGAGCGTAATAAATGATCATGAGGGTGGGGGTAAATTTGAAATAGAATTAGGTCAAAACGATGAGGTTGACTTGTCTAAAATTGAGGGAGAGATATCAATAGTTGATCAGGCTGCAGAATTTGCAGAAAGTACTGAAGGTGGTGTATGTGAGGTAAAGTACACATTTCACATGTGTGTTCATGATGATTTGAATAATTTTGCTATTTTCTTGCAGATGAGTATGCATGGCTGGGAATGAAACATGATTTTTTGCGTACATGCTTTCAAATACTATTGTAATTGTTTCCCTTTCAGGAACAAGCTGTAAATTCCTACCATGTCTAACTCCCATGCTTGTTTGTTAATAACCCTTTGAATGCAAGATATTTTTCATGCTCAAAATTGAGTTATTGTTTTAAGGTTTTTCAACCTTCCATTGTTGGGAGATACAGACTGCACAAAATCGCTCAAAAGCACTTGAAGGTTTAAAATTGCAGTTGTTTTTTTCTCATCCCATTCTCAATGACAAAGCATGGATTTTTCTCATAAAATGTGCTTTTGATACTAATCACATTTGATTTAACATATCTTTGCATCATTTGTTACATACATAAATTGTTCCATATGTCTAATTAACTTTTTCTCCTGTGGCAGCCCTCTGATGATACTGATATTCCTGTTTATGATGCCGACCCAGAGGTAACAGCAACACCCACAAATATTCCCTGGATGCAAATCCCGCTTTTGATTTTGTTGCATTGCTAATTTTGTTGTTTCTTACTTACAGGAAAAATGCACAACTGCAAAGATTTTGTTGCACCTATGTTTCCGCTATGTCCCAAAAAAATGTTTGTTTTTAATTTACTTTCAAGATTTTACTAAACAGATATTCCTGATAAATCAACTTAGATTGATGAAAATCCCATTAGCTCTTCTTCCTGAATGTGCATGGATGTTTTTGCTCACAGAATAGCTATGAAATGAATTCCCTTTTGTGTGATTTGAGGGGTGGTCTGGTCTTGTATACATTTAGAAATGTCACAATTGCTCAATTTTACTTTGAGATGCTTAACAAATTAGTTTAGTTTTACAACTCACTTCTTTATATTTGTCAGTTATTATTGTTTCCAACATGTACAAAATGCTTTTGAATTGAAATGGTACATCTTGGGAGAGAAATGTTGCATGATTTTTTTCTGAATTTGTATCTTCTCTATATCACCTGAAATATTTCTTTTCCTTGATACAACTGTTATTCAGGTTGTTTGTCCTGAGCATGTTCATATTGATGGAACCACCAGTCAAGCATCATCTCAGGTATCAATGTGTATCTCAACTCAGCATGAATCTTCATTTGAGATCTTCTACAATCTGATATATATCCATTATATTTTTTTCAATTCTGAATGAAATAATTTACATGAGTATGCATGTGTAAGATCATTTTACATGCATGCTGTCAGACACAGTCACATATCCACATATTGATATAGTATTCTTGTTTCCACATGGTCCCCAAGTCATCATCCTCTTTTTTTTCCCTTGGCTTAAATTTCAGTTCAGACATTTTCCCACATTCTATTTCTTACACTTTCTGCTTACTTGACCATTTATTCACACTTCTTGTAAGAGTAAGATAATTATGGTTCACAGGCTTCGCGGCATCTCCCATTTATAACTTGTGAGATATGCGAGAAGCTTGAGAGGCAAATTAAGGTAATGTTCTAGAATATGGCTAGCCAGAGTGAACCCTTACAAACCCTGTAATTGTGTGAAACTTATTTTACATTAGATTTTAAATAACTCATTGTCACAGGACATTTTCCAATTCAACCCCCCCCCCCAATTTAACATTTAATCTTCATCCTCAAAATAAGGATTACACTTTTATTTATAGCATTAAGATATATATCCCTGCATTGATTGTTGCATTAAGTGTATGCATATGATATATGCATAATATTATCAAGATAAAAATGACATTGATATGTAATGCATCCACATCCTTTCATGCATCACTCAAAAAGTAACCATTTACTCTTTAGATAATAATTCTCATATATCACCATTATGCAGACGTAAACTTTTAAGTATTAGTCAGGTACATTAAATTATATTTAACTTGTTCAGTATTAGTGCAATGTAATCAGGATTGTGCGTGGACTATTTAATTTCGGAGAATTGGGAGCTTGGAGAGAAAAAAAACAATGTACATGATAAGAACAATATTAATATAACATACCTATTCTGAGCGTCATCTCCCATAAATGAAATTGTCCAATCACACTTTCTTTGTTACACTGCAGCTGTGTTTTTTTTCTCATGCTGAACTTCTACTAGATTTTGTATAATGTATGGTTATGCAAGATTATCATTGTTTACAAACTAACAAGTGCTTGGGCTCTTTACTCTATGCTTGTGAAGCATTTCTCTGCTTGATTGAAAACTATCTGTCGACTAGTGGTATGGTTGTAAGTGGAAATGCAAGGAAAATTGTTGTGATGTTTGTATTGTATATTAAGTATATAAATTATATGCAAGATTGTGATAAGAGTTTGAAATTGCATTGTGTGGTTAAGAATTGTAGTTTTCAATGGAATATTCAATGCAGGTTTGGAAGATGCATGTAGCATATTCTTGAATTCCTAGATCATTCAAGAACTAATTTATTCCAGGAATAATTGTTAATTTTGTTTTGTACATGTTTATTCACTCGTATCACCAGGGTCTGTTGGATGAATTGGTAAAGGAGTTGGACATTGATATGTCAGTTAAGCAGGATCAACCATTTGAATCAGAGGAACCGGTGATAGAGTCAGATGCACTGGTGATAGAGTCAGTGCCTCAAGAAGCATCACCAGAACCTGTAGAGGTACATCTAAATTGTGATGTTATTAGCTAACATACTAAAAGATTCTAATACAATGCTTCAGTTGTAGGATTGCTGTACTAATATTGGTGCATTGCTGATTTAGAATGCTAGATTTAATCTAAAATTAAATATAAAGTAAGAATTCCAGCCAGTTATCCGTTTTCCATTGGGGCTGGTGAGCAGATCCTCTGATGCTCTAACTAGTTTTGTACAATCTTGTCTTGTCATGTTCATACCTCATTATGAACAAGTAATTAATTATCTTTGGCTATTTATATATGTATGTTGCAGCTAAGGAGTGTCAGTTCATCAACCAATGAATCCAATTTTAGTGTGAAAATACTAGCACATCTTAGATCACGCATTTTTAAGCAAATTGAATTATATTCACAATGAATTGAACTCCTCCTTAACTATGAAAGCCTGTCATGTATAAATTGGTAATTTAATTTTGACTGCTTCTTGTATTCTCCTCAATTCATGGCACATGGATCTTCTAGATTACACTCAACATTCTTGTCTTATATTATAGATGCTGAAGTTGCTTTCCATAAGCCTCATCTTTCCTCTAGAAATACTATTATAATAATAATAACCTTTTCAGATATAAACAAAGCTAATACATTTATTTAAGCTTTCATGTTAATGGGGTACATTCACTCATATTACCTATCAGGACAAGATAGATGTACCAGTTGATGAAGAGCTGCTAATTGAACAGGAGCAACCATTAGCTGCAGAGGCTCCGGTGACAGAGTCAGAGGCTCCGGTGACAGAGTCAGAGGCTCCGGTGACAGAGTCAGAGGCTCCGGTGACAGAGTCAGAGGCTCCGGTGACAGAGTCAGAGGCTCCGGTGACAGAGTCAGAGGCTCCGGTGACAGAGTCAGAGGCCAAAGAAGTATCACCAGAACCTGTAGAGGTACATCTACATTGTGATGTTATCAGCTAACATACTAAAAGATTCTAATACAATGCTTTAATTGTAGGATTGCTGTACTAATAGTGTTGTGTTGCTGATTTAGTATGCTAGATTGAATCTAAAATTAGGTATAAAATACTAATTTTAGACAGTTATGTCTGTTTTTTATTAGAGATTAGTGAGTGGTTCTTGTGATGCACTGCACACTGTTCACATCTCATAATTAACATGTTATTATCTCAGGCCACATTTTGTATACATATCATGCAGCTAGTGAGTGTCAGTTCATCACTTAGTGAATCTAAAATTGTGAAAATCTATTGAATTTTTGCTTTTTCTAAGAAACTTGCGGTGTGTTCACAATGAATTTACCTCCTTCATTAAGCATGACAGTCTCACATGTTTAAAATGACAATCGTTTTATATACGTGTACATTCACTCGTATTACCTATCAGGACAAGATAGATGATGTACCAGTTGATGAAGAGCTGCAAATTGAGCAGGAACAGCCATTAGTTGCAGAAGAACCGGTGATAGAGTCAGAGGCTCCAGTTATAGAGTCAGAGGCTCCAGTTATAGAGTCAGAGGCTCCAGTTATAGAGTCAGAGGCTCCAGTTATAGAGTCAGAGCCTAGAGAAGTATCACCAGAACCTGTAGAGGTACATCTACATTGTGATGTTATCAGCTAACATACTAAAAGATTCTAATACAATGCTTTAATTGTAGGATTGCTGTACTAATAGTGTTGTGTTGCTGATTTAGTATGCTAGATTAGCTTTAGTTGAATCTTATCTGAATCTGATGTATCTATAATACATATTCCTTTGCAATTACCCATCCAATTCATTCAGGAAATCACTTATCTCCTATATTGTGTGTAGCACATCAGACTCACTGTTTATAACTCAACTTTTTGTGGTCCAATAGATAGTGTATTGCACTGTTAACCAGATTTACTGCTTTTCTGTCAGAGTTTCAGATATACTGCTGCACATCTCACCTGAACTGAAAAATTCATAACATAGCAAAAAATTCACTAACAAAACAACTTAAATCTTGCAGGACATGCAGCTATATATAGCAGATTTATTCTCAAATAATTCTCTAATAGTAGCACAACTTCTTATTTGTGGTGTTATCAGCACAAATGTATATATATATGCCAATAAAACAACTGAATTTGTTTATGGCATTATGTTTTGTACTTCTTACTCAGACTGTATTTATTGTTCTATTCCTATGACAGGAACCAAGAGAAGAATCAGAAGAGGAGGTGGTTGAGGTATCTTTCCTCTTTCATATCATCTACCTACTTACACTTCAATATTTAACATTTCTTCAATCACAAGTATACCTGTTTATTGTGAATGTGTTTTCATTTTATCGATTCCAAAATGAAATCATGCTTTATAAATTATTCATCTCAGTGAACAACCAGTTTCATTGACATCGCTTGTTAAATGTCCATACATTACTTCCATAGGAACAACAGGAAGAAGAACAGGTACAATCGCATGTCACTGAAGTTACATCTGAGGTATGGTGTTCATAAACATTGATCATATCGTTGTTAACCTTTGTTACCCTTAATTGTTTTCATATGCCTTGTTTCCATGTATTTTGTGTCCTTATCCACTTCACAGGAATGCAATGCTGAGTCTACTGAGCCAGAACTAGTAGCACTTGAGGTATGCTTTGTTAAACATGTTTCATTTCATATATGAAACATGCTAGTCAGTTGAACTTGATGCATAGTTTCTGCATGACCTTGTTTGTGATGTCTTGTTCTTATTCATAATAATTGTATTGATTCTCACATACTTAACTTCATTCTTCAACCCTTATGTATTATGTATTAAATGCACAGACACAGGTTGAAGATGATGACACAGAGCCGCCTGTAGAAAGACCTCCTTCACCCGAGCCTGCTGAGGAACCTGAAATAATTGAGCCTCAAGAATTAAAACACACTAAAGTGGAGGAAAAGACTGAACCTGAAATTACAGAAGTTCAATTGGATGAAGTGCCTAAACATGAACAAAGTGAAACTTTTGTTGAAAGGACTGTGATAACTACTATAACTGATTCAAGATCAGAAACTGTTCTTAGTGCACCTGTGATTGAAATTGACAAGGCATCTGATAATGTATTATCTGAAGAAGAAAAAGACAAGGTTTCTGTGACAAAAGAACTTGATGATGTATCTCGTGTTGAACTTGTTGATACTGGGCGAGACTCTATATCCTCTGAAGAGGATGTTTCTGTTGAAGATTCTCCTGATCTGCCAGCTGTGCATTTAGCATCTGATGATCAAATGGTTGAGGATATTTCAGAAGAAACCAAGGCAACTGAAATCCTTCAAATGGATGGGCCTGTAGAAGTTGATGATCATTATTTTGAAAAAGAAGAGGAAGAATTAGAACCGGAAATTGCAATGGAATATGTGGCACCAACTGAAGCTGCTGTTCCTGGGTATAGTGAGCCAGAGGCTCCTACAGAAGAGGAAGCTGCAATTGAATCACCGGTAACTGAGCCAGTTGCTGAATCAACGATCACCATAGAAGCAGTAGAAGCAGCTGTTCCTGAACCTATGGAACCTGAAGGACTTACAGAAGAAGAGACTGCAATTGAGCAGCCATGTGAAGAATATGTAATGCAGCCAGAACACATCATTGTTACTGAAGCAACTGCGCCAGGGCGTGCCGAAGAACCAGAAACACCAACAATAGAAGAAGCTGCTATTGAGGAACCAGTTTCTGAGCCAAGAACAGACCAAGCACCCAGGCAGCTGAATATTCCTCTTGAGGAAGAGACTACAGTTGAACCAGTAGAAATTGTTACTGAAGCAAGTTACGAGGAATATGAAATAAATCCTGTTGAGGTATTACATGAACCTGGGGAGCCTATGATCATCACAGATAAAGATGAGGCAGCAGAAACATTATCTGATGAAAATGCATTTGAACTTGTACAAGAAGTGTCTGACGATTCTGTTGTGACAGTTGAGTCTGTTGAGGATACTACACCTGTTGCACCTGAATCAGAATCTCCAAGTGAGAAGAAGGTTACTACTGAATCATCATTCACAGATTTTCAGAATGATGGAGAGTTTCCAGTTGAACCAACCATTGTCATTAAAACATCAGATCTTGTTGAGGCTTCTGTCCCACAGCCAACAGAAGAGCCAGAAGAACCTACAGAAGAAGAAGTTGCTATTCCTGAGCCCAAAAAAGAGCCTGCAGTTTATGCTGAACCCCTAATTTCTGCAGAAACTATTGCAGTTGAAGCATCGGTGCCAGAACCCTCAGATGAACCTGAATCTCCAACTGTAGAAGAAGTTGATGTTGAACCACCCAGATCAGAGCTTCAGACGGAAGAAGAGGTTGCCGTTGAACCTATTATTGCCTGTGAAACTGTGGATTTTGTTGAAGCTTCTGTTCCTCAACCAACGGAAGAACCAGAAGAACCCACAGAAGAAAAAGTTGCTATTCCTGAGCCTAAAAAAGAACATGGAGTTTATGCTGAACCCCTAATTTCTGTAGAGACTATAGGAATTGTTGAAGCATCGGTGCCAGAACCCTCAGATGAACCGGAATCTCCAACTGTAGTAGAGGCTGATGTTGAACCACCCATATCAGAGCCTCAGTTGGAAGAAGAGGTTGCAGCTGAACCTATTATTGCCTGTGAAACTGTGGATTTTGTTGAAGCTTCTGTTCCTCAACCAACGGAAGAACCAGAAGAACCCACAGAAGAAGAAGTTGCTATTCCTGAGCCTAAAAAAGAACATGGAGTTTATGCTGAACCCCTAATTTCTGTAGAGACCATGGAATTGTTGAAGCTTCAGTGCCAGAACCTCAGATGAACCAGAATCTCCAACTGTAGAAGAGGCTGATGTTGAACCGCCCATATCAGAGCCTCAGATGAAAGCAGAGGTTGCCATTGAACCTATTATTGCCTGTGAAACTGTGGATTTTGTAAAAGCTTCTGTTCCTCAACCAACGGAAGAACCAGAAGAACCCACAGAAGAAGAAGTTGCTATTGCTGAGCCTAAAAAAGAACATGGGGTTTATGCTGAACCCCTAATATCTGCAGAAACTATTGCAGTTTTTGAAGCATCAGTGCCAGAACCCTCAGATGAACCAGAATCTCCAACTGTAGAAGAAGAACATATAGCAGAGCCACAGACTGTAGAAGAGAATTTAGATGAGCCAACTCGGACGGTTAATATTTTAGAAGCATCAGCTCCAGGTCCATCAGATGAACCAGAAGAACCTACGGAAGAAGAGGCTATAATCGAACAGCCGATAGAATCAGAATTTGGATTTGAGATGAAGGCAGAACCTGTTGCTGATTTTGATGAAGAATCAAAACAAGTTAGTATGGATGTTATTGATGGGAGGACACCAACAGCTTCAGCTGAACCAAATGAACTCTCAGAAGAAGAAGCTGGAATTGAAGAGCCTGTTGGTGAAGGTGTGGATGAAGTTGAGGGTGCCGGGCCTTCAAAACCATTTGAAGTGGATGAAGAACAAGATATGCAATCAAGTGGAGGTATACATACAACAGAGGAGGAGGCTGAAGAGCAGTGCCAGACTGATGTCCCTAATGAAGATGTTCCAGAGGTACTTGCACTTGACTGTAGTATCGGATTTATTTAAATCGTCATTTTTTGTCTAGGTCTCTTCAAAACAGTTTACTGACTGTTCTAATTTCACTGCATAATTTCAGGATTCTGTGGATGAAACTCAAGATGATGATGACAATGAAGTTCCTCCTGCTGAGGTACACTAGGCAATAATGCACCAATTTGCTACAAATAATGCAAATCCTAGCAAACTGCATGTTGTGGATGGCTATTTTATATTCCCTGTTGTCTGTCCTCTGTTGCTTTGTAGATTGTTTAACTGAGTTTATGCAGTATTTCTCCTTTGATATTTCCTCATGCCTTTAAAATCATTAGGTTAAATGAATGCTAACAAATTATTCTGTACCTTGTATGTTTTCCAGCCTGCTCATATTGATATGAGTATATTAATATAAACCATGCATGTTAAAAAAGCTTATATATGCTTGCTGCTCTCCAATATTGACTATGATTAACGCTTCCTTTGCCTCACTTCCTTGCAGGTCCATGATTCCGAAATAACAGAACATTATGAAGAGGTAGTTTCACAATCTTTCAAAATCAAATGCAAACTCTTTCTGAATTTTGTTCAATTTTAAATTCACCAGTGGTTAAGTAATTACTATAACCACACTCTTAGTCTAACCTAAGCTGTATTTTCTTGTAGGAATCTAAAGAAACAATTTTTAAAGAAGAAATCCAATATCAACAGCAAATTCATATTTATTCTGAGGAAGGGCGAGAGGTCAGGATTTGGATCTTATGTGGAAAAAAACTTGGTTATTTTTGTTCTATGTTTCAGATACAAGATATTAGTGCTCTGGCTGTTAAAAAAATTGCTGCTTTTGTGATATTCAGCGACTGCATATATGTTTGTTTTTTAATAGATAACCATCATTAGTCAGTTTTATTTGTTGATATATAATTTCTTTTTTTTGTCTCAAATGACTAGTCTCGCACTGCAATTGCTTATCATCGTTCTTTTTTAAATTGTTTTATTTTCAGGTTATTTTAGCAAAAAAAAGATTTATTTTTTAAAAGTGGCAAACTACCTCTTGATATTTCCCTCTGAGAAGAGCCCACCTGCATGCTTGTTGACCGTGTTGCAAAAGTGCTTGTACTGCTTTTGCAAAATTCACTTCCTTCAATACTCTGTATTGACTGAACTGTGTTATCTGTTGTGTATATGTTTTATGTAGTCTTTTTGTATCTTCCTCTTTATATTTCTGTTTATCTTCCTTTTTTCCTTGAGTATGAATGAGATGAAATGTTTTCCTGATTATTATCTTTGTTGTTTACTCTATCCTGCACTGTGGTTGTTTCCTTGGAAACCAGTGCTGTACATTACATGTGATCATTGAATGTTTTTGTTTGTGTGACATTGCACAGAAATGTGCCTTATCAAATATTGCTGGCACTTATTTCTATACATGTCATGTTTCTGTGCAAAAAAGCTGGACGATTGCTATTATATTATTATGACCAATTTCTCACATATATTGGCTTAAAAACTATTCAGCAGCAAGCTGGTGTTTTTGACTTGAACTTTGTGTGAAAGTCTGTCACTATACTTTTCTGATTGGTTGTATATTGTGAATATTTCGTATCTGTCACTTAAACCGATAAGAATACCACATGAATTTATTTATGAAGATGCATTTATACCCCCTAAGTTTGGTTAAATAATAAAAATCAATTCTTGTACAGTGGTTTTTGTTTCAATTTTCACTGCAAAGAGCAGAGTGTAAATACATTAAGAGTATAAAACAAGCTGTTTTGTACATTGATGCGTTATGACATAGTTGATTTGTATCATTTTTAAACTGAAAATCAGCCTACATTATATGAATGTTACATATGGGAGAGCAGAAAATTTAAAAACCACTGTATAAAAATGGAATGTCTTGGTTTCCATGACAAAATCTATTATTACCTTTGATGTGACAATACCAGATTCTTAGCGAATTAAATAACGCTCAATTTCATAATGTGTACTGAGAATTTTTTTGTTTCATCATCATTGTTACTTTCAACTGAACAGACTGAGGAAAAAGATTTTGTCAAGACTTCAGAGTCATTTGAAGATGATAATGATGCTACCCCAAAAGATGCAACGCCTGAAAATGTGGATACTTTGGCAGAAGTGATGAATGAGATGATTTTCGATGGTATGTTGAGAATTTGTTTCCTACCTACACATGTAATCGTATTTATCATATTTGTTACCGTAAAATTTCTAATTGAAGCCGCGGATTTAATTAAAATTCATTTTTTCAATGGACAAATTCAGATGTGTGAAGTCTTGGTGCGGCTTTAATTAGAGCATTCACTTCGGTAACAGTGGGAAATTTTTTCAAAAAACAAAGGCCAGAAGGGATAATGAGATGCTAATGAGATGCACAACACTTGATTGCAACTTTGTTGCGATTCTAAGCACACTTTCAGATTTTTACAAACAGACAAACTTGTACACAAACGAAATTTCATACTGTATAACATACTGCACTATAAATATTATCTACAAGTAGATTTGTATGCATTTGCAGATTACGGTACTGTATACTACAATCTCTTGAATAGACTAATTCGTTAGCACCGGTATAGGTTACAACTGAGAGACAGCCGTTGACACAGTCGATTGCGTTTGACTACTGGCATGTTCAACTTCCGGCAGAGTGACTATACATTCCATATTAAATTTAGACATCGGGGAAAATAAAATAAAAAAAATCAATCAAAAAAAAATGTTCGCATGATAACAAAAAAATACTCAGTATATTATTTAATGTAATATATATTTATTTTCTTATTTTTTTTATAACGAAAAGTATATTCTAAAAGAAGTAAAAACAAAAACCAATGCATTCTTAGCAAATGATCACGGTAACGGTCATCCTGCGTTTCACACAAGTGAATAACTTACTTTTTTTCGAAGTGTTACAATTAGTGATTGCAATAACGTACAGAAAATAAATTTGTTGAATTGTTGTGAAAATTCAAATTACTAACTACTTGCAGCGACATTGTGGTAAGCGAAACCCGGAAGAGATTTACTGTTGTTGTCGTGCAATCGTTTGGCTTTGATTTTGGTGGGAAAACGGCATGTTTTGTTTTTTAAATCAAGAAATTAGTTGTTTTAGAAAGATAAGCTGAGCATTGAAGAAGAATTTAACACTTTTGATGATAATAACAGCTCATTGTCGAAACGCGCAGTTTACCCATTCACGCTACACACAAAAAACCTGTACTCTGAAATAAGCATCAATGACTACGGAGAACCTAAATTAGACTCTAATCTAAGCGTCAGGAATCATTGAAATGTTCGAAAAATTATGCCTTAATTTAAAATTAAATGTATATCTTTTTCTGAAATATGTGGTGGCTGTTTGGTTTGTGAAAGTTTGGGGTGCGGCTTATATTGCAGGCTTTTTCCTGGGATCCAAACTTGTCAATTTCAACATGAAATAATGTCTCAAGTTAGGGGTGCGGCTTCTATTAAAACTGCGGCCTTATTAAAGCTGCGGCCTCAAATATGATTTTTACGGTAGTATCACATATGCTAATGTAAATGACAGGTATGTCTATGGTCATAATTAGTAATATTTGAATAGTCCAGTACAATAAGTGCAATTTCTGGCTTAAGTACACTTCTGTCAGTGATGTCTGTATTGTTTTTTTAACATTACTGGCAAACCACAACAATTTAAACATCGTTAGACTTTATTCAAAGTTGTGATTTTCTTATCAACATTGTTTTGGGAAATGAGTAGATTTTTTTTTTTAAAGAAATTTAGCATTTTTTTTTTTTAAAAAACTGTGATCGAGATAAGTAGTTAATGGGGATATATGACTATTTATCAAAAATTAGGAAACAAATTTATGAAAAATACATAAAAAATGGCATACACGTATTAATTCTGTGTGAAGAAATCATATAATAACAATGTCACCAGAATGGCACATTCTACTGTACACAGGTTGGATTGATGTATGCCATGTGCTCTGTGCATTTGGGATGTGTTGTCTCACAAGAAACATAAAAACAACAACTTTTAAAGTTGACATATTTTGTTTATTCCACCATTTTGAGCTAACTGCTCTACTTTTTACATATCAATACACTAGGGTGATCAGGTGACATATAACACCATACAATAGTGTTTATCCTAATGTATGAAATAAAGTAATCCCAAAATACATCACAATAGTGTAAAATTCAGTTCATTCAAACGTAATGAGTCTGTAAAGTGTTAAACTGAGGTCACATCTCATATCTAATTCAGTCTTTCTAATGATATATATTTTCTTACCTATTCATTTTACTAGAACCAGAAAACACTCCAGTTGAACATGAAGAACCAGGGGAGATAGTGGAGGAGAAATTTGACCAAGATTTAATTGAGTACCAACAAGAACAACCTATCTTTGTAGATGGAGATGCTGACAAAGCTGATGAAGTATCAGATCATGAAGATGTATCTGCTGCTGAACTTGATGATCTACTACAGAGAGATTTCACAGCTGAAGCAGGTCTTCCGGAAACGGAAACATCTGAATACACAGGTACCCCTGATTGAAATGAGACAATTAAATTATTCAAAAACACATTTTAGAAGATTTGACATAATAATTTGTAGCTAAAATGACTTGCAATCTCATAATATCATTTTCACAAAATTAAAATCTATGTTATACAGAAGCTTTTCATTAAATGCACCTTTTTTGGCGGAGGCTGAATTATTGAAAAACAATTCTAATCAGTGATAATAATAATTTCAGATTGATGTTCAAAGATTCAAAAATGTAATTGATTTTAAAACCTGGCCAATTAGAATGTTCCATTGCAGAACTGTATATACACATAATTCTGAGTCTGACTAGTTTCACCTTTTGTCATTGTGAAAACTGCTTCTCACACACTAATGCATCAAGTAACAGTAGAATAGGGAATATTCTATAGAATATTCTTGGCACTAGAAGCAAATTTTTTTGTTTGTCCCTATTAGGATTATAGTTGGTGAATTATTATGAATAAACAGTTACTTTTGAAAATTGCTTGCACTTTAAAATGCACCATGTACTAACGCATTAATATTGGATCTTTGCAGAAGATTCTATTACGACAAAATCTACCACAGTGAAAAGCAGTTCATGGGGGAACCCCCCAAAAGGACTTGATCCCTTTGATCCATTTGAGGAACATTTCACAGGTGATGGTTCACTGGTGTAACTGCACATTGTTATTTCTTGTTTCCTCCTTTGTATCACTTGCACGACTTTTCTTATCATTTGACAACATCCTGTAAACAATCACCTCATTATTAACATCACTTTATTTTCTCTTTGTGCTTTTATTCAATGCTACATGTTTAACCATCTCCCCATTGTCAAAATCAATAATGTTGTTACATTTCAAAGAAAATCTGTGATAATCAAACATTTGATGAATTTGCTATTCTAATGACAGTGATCTAAAAATATTCTGTTCTTAACATGTTCTTTCATGCTTTGAAAATAATATTTATCAAAAAAATTTAAATAATATGAAAAAAATTGTGGGTTCGATTTTGTGAAAGATGAAAGTTGACACTTTGACACATTTGGGTTACAAAAACAATACTGTTGTAAAATAAGATAATTACATCATAATAGTTTACAACAAAACAATATGCACATTGTAATTTCATTTGTTTGTAAACGTGTGGCTCTTTTTACATGCATGTTATGTTTTTTTCTGGAATTGATTATCTAGGAATGGTTAAAAGTTGTATAAAAAAAATTTCAAATCTTTCCCATAAAAGCAAAACTTAACTTGTTTAACAATGTTCTATTTAGTAGATATCCCTGGTATATTGGGGCCTAAATTGCCTTGTAATGTAATTGCTTTGGGTCAATTTCGGTGGTGTTAAAATAAACAGTTGGTTATTTGACGATGACACAGATAAAATGAGCTTATAAAAATAGTATTTTGACATTTTTTTGTGTGTTTCAGAGGAACATGTTGATATCTGCGATGAGCCAGACAGACGAACCACGACCAAGGTTATTAAGAAGACAGTGGTGAAGACATCGATGGGAGAAGTTCCCGATGACTTTGAAATTGGTGACGGAGATGAAGTTGAAGAACGTGTAAATGAGGATGGGTCTGTGACGCGGGTCATCCGGAGGGTCAGGCAAATAAGTGGTAGTTCTGGTGATCCAGAATTTAGTCAATTGATGTCAACTAACGATGGTGCTGATGGTTTGATAGGTGAAACTGATAGTAAAAGGTAAGTTTTGCAGCAGATATTGGATATATTACTAAGAATGGCAAGGGATGCAAATAACATGACTACTGTATCATCAAATCATGCCAGTATTGCTTGGAGTAAACATTAAACAGTTATCGCTTCCTTATTGAATTTTATATAAAAATATAACAACTTTTAATTTTTTTGATTCGTTGATTCTGATCACCGAACATAAATTGACAACCCATAGTTTTGATACAATTGGCAATTTGTATTTATTTGATAATGTTGTGGGAGCAAGCATCCCTTCTGTCATTTTGATGACTTGTGTCTCAAAGCATGGTGCTGCTTTTATTATTGGAATTGAGTTCACTGCATCATTCATCAAATTTGGAGCATCTCGTCTTTTAAAAGGGCAGTGTATGTCGCATAGCACCGGATCAATTGTCATGCTAAAATTTTTCTGGTTAGCTTATATTTTACAAACCCACATTGTGTGCTTTCAACCACTCTTTGTGTAATTTACCATAATGCCAAGAAAAAAGGAACCTCCTCTTAATAATTGTTTAAAGTACATGTGAAGTATTTTTTCATTTGCTCCAACTTTGAATGAATGAATGAATGAATGAGAGTTGGTTTTACTAATGATGTTTTTGTTATGATGCACTTGTTTCATGTTGTGGATTTTCTCTTCACGTTATGGATTTCACATGGTTTCTTTTGGTGAATTGGATCTACAAACTCATCACACATTGGTGGTGTTCACCCCTATAGGGAAATGGGATAATCCTATTTGCATATAACTTTCACTGAACATTTCCTTTATCAAGATCCTTGCATTTCTCATGGGGAAGCATAACTAGTGCATCCCCCTCCTCACCCTTCTGAATGTTTTTTTTCTGTTCTTTATTTGTCATGCATGTTGTTTAAACACTTAGATTCTTAAACTATACTAAAACACTAAATACTATAAGCTTTGCATCACACTACTAGAGTAACAGCTTTCTTCATGTCATAGCTTATGCCTTCATCTCATCTGAAGTTATTCTTCTTTCAAATTATCATGTTTGTTATCTGCATCTGTCTTCTCGCATGTGTTTTAAGTTATTTTTATTTTTCAGCTTAGCAATTCATATTCTTGTGCAAACTCAGCAATTTTATTTTCTTTATTAATACTGTCTCAGTCATCAAGAAACTGATGTCTAGTTCATCACAACCAGCTACCCGAAGTTATTGTAAGTTTGAAAGATGACACACACATGTATATTACGTCAACACCACATCTGACTCTCTCTCTTGTCCAGTATGTCCTTTAGCCCCAAAATAGGAATCCATATGGTTGCAAAACATTAACTAATTCTACTCTTCACTAAAATGAATTAACCTTATGGATGCCATTATTGGTGTAAAATTTCACCAGAACATTTTTAAAATTAAACTTCAAGAAAGTTTCTGAGTCCCCTGTCTAATGAAAAGATCATGTGAACATTGCAGTACAACATTTTACAATTTTCTTGTTTCTCGAATTAAATTGAAGCAATTCATTGTATATACCCATGATGGTATGGCTAGAGGTTACTATTGAGATGTACAAACATTGGAATACGATTTCGTAGCTCTCCTGACAAATATTTTGAACATACTTTGATATACCAAGGTTATATTGATTGGACTATTATTTCCATACTTGTTGTTGTGTTTTCTCACGGTGTGTTTTCTCATGGTGTATTGTCTCATAGTATATTGTCTTAGGGTATAAATACTTGAGGTGTATTTCTCAGGGTATAACAACAATGGATTTACTGTTTTACAGTGTCTTTCCAATGTTTACATCTTCCTTGCTTTGCTGTGATTCTTTACTACATCTTTAGAATTGTGATCTATACTTGTCGCGACCCTCTTGACAGCTGTTTGAGAAGTCTCTTGCATTAAAAGCAATCCATTTGAATCTTTCTACAGAGTTGTAGTACATAAGAAAGTAACGAAGAAAATAGTCATTAGAGATGGTGAAGAAGTAGAAGTTGAAGAATCCACAGATACCAAGATTGAGGAAGATGGACAAGAGGTTCAAGACCCAAGTGAACTCAGAGAAGACTTACAACAAATGATAGATAGCTTTTTAACAGAAGAACAAATGCAGGAACAAGAAAAAGAATAAAATAAAATTCAGATCCAGATAATAAACATATTCATGTTTCTGGATATTAAAAAAAAAAAAGTTTATTTCTGGGTCACCTAATTGAGAAAGAAATCTAGTGTGTATCACTGTCATGTCTTAAACGAACAAGACCATTTGACATGACAATTCTGAAAAAAAATCAAAAATTTCTGTTTAGTAAATTTGGATCGTATAATTCTTGATAGTAAAGTTTTAAAATGCAGTACCTTGTTTTTTGAATAATGTATTCCTATGACTGTCAATTTCTGGTGTTTTTTCAGAAGTTTACCACTGGAAGATTTTACCCCCTTTTCAAACTCAATATGAAATGTTTTAAGTAGTGACAAAAAATACAAGTAGATTTGTTAGTCCTGGTAGTTTTACCGTTGTTTTCTTCAATGTAGACAAGTCCTGATAGTTTTACTTGACATTGCATTATCTGCTGGTAATCAGCAAATGTGCATCTGCTTGACAACAATGGGGTTTTAAACATGTTGCGTAGTTTCATTTCATGCTAGTATATGCTAATGAGGTCTTTATGTAGTATATGCTAATGAGGTCTTTATGCAGTATATGCTAATGAGGTCTTTATGCAGTATATGCTAATGAGGGCTTTATATATTCAAGAGGATGTTGCAACAATCAAGAATTTTAATTACTGCCCAATTAGTATACTCTAAAACTGGCAAATTAGGTTAACACTGCCTTTTTATGTTTTTAGTCACCTGCATAATTAGAGAAAATGAATCCCTTTCATTCCTCAGCTTGATTAACTCCCATCCTATCAAGATCTGTAAATTGTTCAATGTCAGATCCTTTATTTTTTTCCAATTGTTAGGTTGGGTCTTATACTGCTGTCATGTTTTTATTTTTATCTATTATGGAGGCTGACTGTTACAGCAAATTTTAATGGGCTTGCCAGTGTTTTTAACCCTGAGATAATGCAAATATGGAAGATCAAAATTTTTTAGATCTGCCAGAAATTTTCGTTTTTGTACGAGTATTTGAAACGTCTTTAATTTGATAAGAAAGATTTTATTTCTCTCAACAATTTTTGATTAATAATGTTTCCAACTTCCAAAGTCAGCGAGATGAAACTATCAACCTCCTTTAAATGAAATGTCTATCAGATATCAAACTGAGGTGACTATTTCTTTAAAGGTCAATTGATCCCTCTTTTAAATGTTAAGCTTGATAAAGTAAATTAAACCATGTATTAACAGCCTAAATATTCTTGTGATTAAGTCTGGCAACTGGGTGTAAAATTTTCATATCTCTTCCTGCAAAATGAAATCATTGTTTAAGCTGTCTAATAATACCTTTCTTGTACCATTTTGTCACGATAACTAATATTCATAAGTTGGGTGATTGAATTAAAAAAGTCAATTTGATTCTAAATATTCTTTATTATAAAGTAGCACGAAATTTCTGAACAGCAGTTGTAGAAAATGTATGTCTGATGTAATTTTGATTGACAAGTAATTGTAGTGTTGATAGCAAAACTAGTTTTAAACAATTGCACTTGTGTACCAAGATTTTACTCAGAATCATAGCACTTGATGTAATTATAGATATATCGATAATCTTTTTGAAACACTGATAACTGGGTCTGTTTGTGTAATAATAAATACTTTTGTTTTGTTCTTTATTTTGGAATATTGAGAATATTGAAAATTTGTTCATTGGCCTAACATGTGGGAAGAAATTCCATAAGTATGTATATCAGCTACCTGTTATTAGTATTAGGGCGGTGTATATTATTCCAAACTGTAGATGAACAACATGATAATTGCCAAGATGACAGGACAATATCGTAATCCATCCCACCACACTTTAATGTGTTGTGCTAAGCCAAGTTTTATTATCTATCAACAGTCCTGACATCTCGGCGGTTGTTTGTTTGGCTTTGACATCTGTTGATGTAGCTGTGATGCTGTTCTAGGTCAATGTTAGTTCTCTAGTGATATTCCTTATGTATCTGTAGGTTTTTATGTTTTTTGATGTAATTTCATGATAAAGTTACAGCTTGGAAAAGGTTCATTAAAAGCTTTGTGCTCCATATATCACAATTAAACTATCTTCTTCAATGCAATTAATGGTATGGGTGATGTCTGCAAAATATATACTTTCTGAAAGTTTGGACAACCGGACTGAGGTATATTAAAGTGGGGGAGTCGTCATCTGCACATGCTTCAGATGGCCATTTCGTGTCATTGTTTACAAACAAGTGTCTACCCATGAGCCTTTGTGTGTGTTGTTATTGTTTTATGTCCACATTTAATAACCCAAACTTTAATTAACAGTTGATCGAGTTATAAGCGACCTAGATTTGTATAGTGTTGCTCAAACATCTTCATAATGTAATTCAATTTTTAACCGTGCCCATGCGGCAAGCTTGTTTGTGACAACTTTTGGCAACAAATTAAACAATACAAATCAAAGTTCGTTTAACTGTTTTTTAACTAAATTTTTATGTCCGGAACTCTAACAATTCAGCATCTTATTTAGTCTTGAGGTGGGAATTGCCTAACCAAAATGAACTTGCTAGAGACTTCTTGCTTTAGTCGTATAAGAACATTGAAATTAGTGAGTAAGTTGGCTTGTGAACGGTCTGGTCCTGTGACATGTGCCGAGATTTGCTGCCTGAACGCTCGGTACAAACCAAAATCACGTCCTCTGTGGTGAATTTAAGAGAACATATACTGGTTCATACTAGTATGACATGGAAGGACGTGCAGTCAGATGCTGTAGTTATGAATGCAAACCTGTGACGTATATGTGCTGCTGCAATTGTTTTTTTCTTGCAATGTACATCAACATGAAAAAATACCGGTAATTGTTTTTCCCCCGAATCTTCTTTGCTGTTCATGTTCATGATGACTTAATTTTGTAATAAATACCATAACAGCAAATAGATATAATTTCGATATAGCAATTATCATCTTAAGCATATCGTTTTCATTGTTTGGGTCAAATAACAGATCAATAAATGAGGGCGTGATTTCAGCACGAGCTGTGTGGGTTCCAAATGGACCCGACTTACATGAGCGCAACTAGTGTATCCCTCTTCAAAAACAAAGGATTAAAAATTTCGGCATATGCCAAGATCCCATAACGTGAATGTAGTATATTTGAAATTTTGACCTTGGTGATGTGGAACATTAACTGGAAGTTCCATAGTTGTGCACATATCTAAATTGAGCCAATTTGACCTCAATTTTGTGGAACATTGACCTTGGCACCTCAGTTGTTAATATGTATATTTGATCATTTGTGAGATCTAACTTGGAAAGGTTCTGATCTAATGATCAGTTTTGCACATATCCAAATTTGACCAATGTGATGGAACATTAATCTTGACAACCTCATTCTGTAAATTAATCGTATCCGAGGCATGTGGTCTCTTTGATCCCACAGTAAAATCTGATCATAATTTCGACAACTCGTCATATACACAGAAAAGTTCTGCTTTGTGGCCTCAGCTGTTTGTAATCACTTATTATCGAAAATGGAGGGTGTACTTTAAAGCGGGAGGGTCGTCACCTGCGCGTGCGCGGGAATTGACAACACACGCTAAAACCTCAAAGGCTCGTAGGTAGACGTTTGTTTGTAAACAATGACATGCTATGGCCACCTGACGCATGCGCAGGTGACTACTCCCCCGCTTTAACAGTGAGAGTGCCCCTTTTCCCAGGGTTTCAATGTTTCATTTTGTTCAAAATTAACAATAAAATATATATAAAAAAAAATAGTTGCACCAAATCTTTGGGTGGAAACTGTGAAATCTCGAGTTCCAATTAACCTAAAGCTGTTTAAATTTTATGGAGGTATTAGCCAACGTAGTCATTGATGGACATGATTTTGGTTTTTTTGCATGGCATTGCGAGAGACCTTGTATTTGCGAGACGCTATAGTGATATGTCAAGTAGGTCTGAACTTTAGAAACCCTCGGCAAATGATGACATTAACTTTGACATGCTTCAGGGACTCAAGGTTAACAACGTTATACTTGTTCATCATGTAGTAAATAGGCTGGGCATTGTAGTTATTTCCATTAAGACAAACCAAGAAACAAACGTGGAATGTGTAGATGATAAAATTTGACTCGTAGAGAGCACTCTTCGTGATATTATAGAAAGTGTAGATAGAATCGGAGGGGCTGTTGAATTGCTTGTAGGTTTTAACAATTGGAAGAAATACATAAGAATCTTGTTGATACAGATAGAGGAAATCATAACATATTGTGTCATAATGATAAATATAACTATATTAATAACTTATTTCCATCATGAAATGAAAATGCTTTATACCACTACCTACTTTCTTTCCTATTATAGTAGTTATAACAACTAATCTTTATTGCTATTAATTTATCATATGTGTGACTGACCGTTGGCGTCTGCATCAACTTTTTACTTTTTTGACTTCTTCTTGAAAACTACAACCCTGATTGCTTTGATACTTTGTGTATATGCACGTTGGGCAAACCTCTCTCAGATTTGTTCATTTCATGATGTTCCTTCAATTCACTAATATTTGTGTAATTTTTGGTAAAAAGTTATATTTTTGACTTCTTGTTGAAAAGCGCAAGTCTGTTTGCTTTGATATTATAGTACTGAAAAATACTTTATTTTTAGCTTTGAATTAATTTTCGCTGAAGCAATGATTCAGTGAAAATAAAATCCAGCGAATATACCTTTTTTCCTATATTTTACATTTAACTTATCAAAAATCAGTGAAAATAAATTCCATACAAAACATCCAAAATGTCCTTTCAGCGAAAATTAATTCCAGCTAAAATAAGTATTTTATAGTGCATAAAGGTACATGTACTTAGTTCAATATCGAGATGTTCAACGTTGAGATACACTTATGTCAGTAAAATGAACAATCATCAAATGTGTATAGCAAATTATTAACCGGGATTAATAAGCATGGAAATGCCTAAAAAATGCTTTCACGTTAAACTTTGTAGAATCCCATGCGATGTTTTGACGCCACTGCGGTGCTATGACATTTGTATGTCCTGCTTTTACGTTCGATTACGCGGGATCTCGCAGTGAACGGAAAATGAAAGTTACAAACTCTTGTCAGGGAAGACATGTATTTTTGGGAACCACTTCAGGAGAGCACAACGATTTGAAGTTATTCAAAATAACAATCAGTTTCACAAGTTATGCAATCTTATTTTAGTCAAGGAGTGGTGAAAACGCGGAACAAACTCTCAATTCCGGTTATTGAAGCTAGCATCACAGTAAATTTTCAATGCCAAATTAGATAAAATTTGGACAGATATGGGTGTTAATTATTGATAGGCTTATACCATTAAGAATTTAATATAACCATAACTACGGTGGTACTGCCAAAATTTACAGTTGCATCTTATCTGCAGACGACATTGTAAGTCTGTTTGAAACTAAATTCGGATTTCAAAATTGTCTAGCTCATGAGTGTACACACGACGATGGAAGCAGTTAACACACAATAACCAATTAATATAATGATTTTCGGCGAAACTAATCGTCTATAATTTTCTGAGACATAAATATAGCAAGGCACTTTATTTATTTGGGAATTAACTACCAAATTCAAGGAAGACAAAGATGGCGATAAATAAATCTAATCTACATTTAAAAACAATGACGTCCCTCTTAGACCAATATTAGTACATTGTATACGGTAGTGATATTTGGGGAGATGAGAGTTCTTACAAATCTAACATAGAAGATGTTTATCTACACTTTTTACGATTCTTCATAGGCGTGAGAAAAATACTACCATAATGGGAATATATTGAGAACTGGCTCAATTTCCGATAGATGTGTTTATCTAAAGACAAATGATTAAATACTATAACCGAGTAATGAACACATTAAACGAAGTTGTGGAGGGGGCAGGGTTAATGAATAAATTAAATAATAAATGGTATTGCTTAATAAATGAAACGCAATTAATTGATACAGATATATAATTACAAGCACTAAACAAGCAAAAAAGGTTGAAAAAACATTCATTCTTCGTTGGAACAAAGATATCACAAAAAATAACCAGCTAGGGAATAACAATCTAAGAACATACAGTGAATTCAAGAGAATATTTGAAATGGAAAATTAACATTGCCTAACAAATATTGATATACAGTGGGCGACTGAGAATCAATTTCTGAAACAGGAGGCACAAACCGAAATTACCAAAAGAAAAAAAAAGAATCTGCAATCTTTGTTCAAAGAATGAAGTGGAAGAAGAATACTATTTAATCACATCGTGCCATTTTTACAGTGAACAAAGAAAAAATTACAAAATGTACTAGTATATGAAGAGACCGGAAAACAAATAAATAATTTCATAAATTTTTCAGAAGAGAACAAATTAATAATAAAAACATTGCAATTGGTCAAATTTATAAAACAACGAAAACAAAAACAACTTGAACATGAGACAGCAACATCTCTTGTCGGCATAGCATAATCATCTTTTTATGTTTGTTTTTCTTACTGAATTAGGTAATTCAGTACTTGATCTATCATTCAATGTTTACTTTACTACATACTACATGGGCGGTATTCATACTTCTATTGTCAGTATGATTCATTTATTTGAGTAATCAGTGACGCACATGAATAGTTTAAATTCATTAACAATCTACTTTACAACTCTTATTTGGACTTACATAGCGACCAGTCTAAATCGTTACAACTGGTCATTTGCATAACTATGGTTAACCGATGGTTGTCACAACACATTCGCGACAACACGTTCATTGAGTTTGTAATGTAAATTTGAAATGAATGGCGGCAGTAAAACGACCACAAAGAGTTCTTTTCTGTTTGAGAACTATGCCTATGTGAATTGGTGACAATAGGCGATGTGAAATGGGAACCAAAAAGGAGTTCGCCATAATTAAAGTATTGTCACGCAAATTGCGTCTGAAGTAGGTGACTCGTCAACAACACGACCTGTTCGGATACGACGAGATAAGACACGTAGGGAAAGTGTTTGCTGTATTTTTCGTTTTACTGTCACTACCGCTTTGTCTGTAGCTGTTTGGGCCAGTTTTACGTCGGAATTTTCGTAAGGTGAGTATTTACAAGCAATATCGTTTTAACCGATTATACTGAAGATATAGAACGATGAAGCGAAAGTTGTGTTTACTTGCAAAGCGGCAGCATTCAATACTACGTTCCTATTATCGATATTTCTTTTCATTTAGTAATCTTCTATTTACCCATCACTGTACACCAAATGCAGAACACATCGTTTTGCGCTGGTTGGAATAAGATTTGTAATTTTGAATGACGTCCATTTTTACAGTCCAGTTCACAGTATCTCCATGCTACTATGCAGGTGCATTCTTTCACGTTGCCAACTTGCACGTCACACTCCACGTTAGTATTGTAGATATAGGTCGCAATTTAACTAAAGACACTAGTCCCTTTTGATTTAACTAAGGATATCAACACATCGCATATAATTATTTACGACACACCTACAAATTGTATCCTGTGCTTACACATAATGCTTATGCACCACGTTATTCATAAATCCGATTTCTGGTTTGTAAGAAACGCATTTCAGTTACCAGGAAGATGGCACCGAAATATATTTATTAGTAATTTACAGTATACAAGTTTGGACGGGACGGCGTTTGTAGGCTCGTGGTTCGAGTAAATTATTACAACAAAAATACGACTAACGAAAAAAAATTACAAAAATATAAAGTTGTTTTCAATTTAGCGTTGTTGTAATTTAGTGGGTGGAATTGGATAGTAGAAACACGGGGGTTTGGATAATAGCAACACGGGGGTTTGACGTATACAAGTGACTATACAACTACTAGTTTACACATCAACTACTAGTTTACACATCAACTACTAGTACTAGTTTATACATCAACTGGCTTGTACGTAACAACTTAAACAAGTGGTATGGACTGGACGTAATACATGGATTGGACTCGACGCAACTAGTGAGTTGAATGGGATACGTTGTCGGGACACACCCTAAAACTTAACCGGCACCATACAATCATGTCTTGGTCATATTTCAAGTACTGATTATGACGCACATACTTCCAATTATCATAATCGTATAATCGGGGCAATTTGAGTGCAGTCTATATTACAAATGAACACAATGCGATGTATACAGAGAAATTATGGCACTACTTGCACATACACGTGACACAGCCAATAGTCGACCATTCCGTCACCTTCTTTTATAATTTTAGTCGAAACTACGCGTTTAACCCCCCCCCCCCCGCGCGGTGTGGAATATGTTAGTTTAAGGGGCCCCCCCGCGGTGTGGAATGTGTTAGTTTAACCAGTCACAGTGTTTGAATACCTGAATACCATTTGTTATTTTGAACCGAATTAATTAAAATGGCTTTTAGATTTATTTTGGTACGCATGATTCAATATTAGCTTCAGCTTGTCACGTGTTTTCTTTTAGTTTTTTATTACATATAAAAAGTTGTCTATAATTTATACAGATATTGTAAAACTAATTAAATCAGTCTATTGATGTACAAGTTGTATTTACATAATTTACATCAAATAGAATTAATCTAATTGAATTTGAAAGAATAAATTCGTAAAGCTCATGTTCCAGTATATAAATACACATAAGCCAAAGATTTTACTGAATAGCCTTCCTAGGTATATGTTTAATTTTATGTAATCCAATATATCTATATTTATATATTTTAACATTTAAAGTTTATATTTCATAAACCGTCATTCTATTTTTTCAACAGATACTAGTGTGACGTCATAATGGGTGTAGAAGGCCGTACGAAATGTATCAAATATATGTTGTTTATTCTCAACTTTTTGTTTTGGGTAAGTAATGAGTCATGACTCTATTTGGCCTGAAGAACTGCAAAATAGATAATATGTGGATAATCACTGAATCGATCACACAAATAATCATGGTGTTTGTACGCCCTTATTAAAAATTTATTTTTTGATCAACGTAATTCGTAATTTTAATTCGTACCTTACTCAGTCGGGTTAGTTTGTATCGGACTCGGGTTAATTCGTACCCGACTCGATTTAGTTCGTAGTTGACTTGGGTATGTTCATATCTCAACTATATTTTTCAATATGGAAGTTGACGTTTTGTTCATTTTGTTTCATTTGTTTTGCTTTGAAAAAATAATATATTCATGTCACGTTTTGTCGGCATGCATTTGGTCAAATAAATGCATTTATTGCTGACAGGAACAGGCGTCAAAATCAATAGTATAGAAAATGTCTGATTTCAAATTGTATAAATGTCCGATTTCTACACTTCGAATGGAAATTAACTATTTGTTGCACACTTAACAATTAAATCAAGCGAGAATTGATGGCATCTAAACAAAGTGTAAAAATGTTTTTAAAAAATGTTTTAGAAATCATGGAATGAGATGGCGATTTTTTAATGTCAAAAATCGGTAACTGTCTTCGAATAATGCAAACAAGATTTCTCCAATTATTGTAATGTATGTATTTGTTTCATATCCAGATATGCGGCGCTGCCATGGTTGGTTTAGGTGTATGGATCTTGATCGACTACGACTCGTTTACAATAGTAATGGACAATCCATTTTTGAACAGTGCCGTGTACTTACTGATTTGTGTAGGTGCCATCGTCACTATCATCGCATTCCTTGGATGTTGTGGAGCTGTACAGGAACATAAAGGATGCTTGACTGGGGTAAGATCAAACTTTTGTTTGAAGGCAAGCATTAAGTATCTGCTCTACAACTTAAAGGGATAACAGGATCTTGTGGTGACATACTTGGCAGTATATATACACATGTGAACGAATGAGAGTACAGTCCAATCGGAAATTCTCATTCAAAGTAATACACGACTTGAGGGTTTTAATATCACGTGATATTGTTGTCGAAGTACGTCATACTCTCTACTGGCTCGTTCACAGACAGTTGTGTAATATTTACTAAAATCGACGCTTTAAGTCACTATTGAATCGAATCGCTGAATGCACATTTCGGAAACAGAATTTGTAAATGATCCCCAAATCAAGTAAGGAATACCAAAACGATGAGCTAAATGTCTTCTAGAAATTAACTATGTGTTGGCAATGTGATATAGAGGGATGTCAGTTGAAAATGTTTTACATACACATATACTTACACTCATGTGTTCAATATAATTTCCATACCACCCAGACTGACTGACATTCGCTTTTGTGATAAACATGTACCTTATGAAATTCCCAAAAATCTATTGTTGGATATAATGGATGGATGGACGCTGCCTTTACAATAAATATGTTTTGTACGTTTATATTAACCCACCATCGGAATTTGGTGACCTTGATTCGGGAGTATTGAATAGCATTTCGTCCGAACGGGGACTATGTCATCATCCATCACCATGGTTTTGAACTAAGTGTCTTCTTAGCACGATCTGTGTCTTAACCATGTTTTTTTAATCATACAGTATACCATGATGCTGTTGTTGATGTTGTTAGGTGAGTTCGCAATAGTTGGACTTGTATATTACTTCGGTTCCGACAAAGTGGAAGCAGTTATCGTGGACGCAGCCAATGCAACGTTTGTCGAATATGGAAATAAGCTTTACATTACGGACTCATGGGATACTGTTCAAGTCCTGGTAAGTGAGAGGCGCCCTCAGTCAATTAGAATATTTGAACTCTTGTTTTTATTGGACTATTTCTTTATGCCCACTTCGATTACTCGTTCTGAGATCCGGATGTTGTGGTTGTGAATTTGCTTGTAATGTAATAATTAAAGGGTGGTGGTCGTCGTGTCGCGTCCTGTTCGATATGGGGCTCAACGCGTGTAAAATACATTGTTTACATGAAATTCGAACAAGCGCTGTGCGACGACCGCCGCCCTTTAATTTCTCAAGTACTAGTCAAAAATTGTAACGAGCGCCCTCTGTGGCCATCATGTATATTTATGGTTTCTTTAATATACTGACGCACGACGGTGGTCGCACGGGTTGTCTTTGATATGGGACTCATAGCGACGTACACAACGCGTGTAAAATACAGTGTTAATATGAAATTCGAACACGCGCTGTACGACGACCGCCGCAATGTGTATGTAAAATATTATAAAGACACACACAGTTGTGTCGTTATTGTGTAAGACAAATCATTCAACATTATAATGTTGATATTTTCGTTTTATTTAGTCTGGGTGCTGTGGTCTTTATGGTTACAATGATTATGAATACACGGCATGGGCGGACACACATACTGAAGAATTCCCTGATAGTTGCTGCACGGTTGAAAGTATTGAAACTGGCACGTACGTGAACACTACGATATGCCACGAGAAAAACTCTGAATACTTTTATGCGGAGGTGAGTTAAATAATTATAATGATAACATAAATAAACCATTCTTTTAAGTCGCGACTCTGATGACGATGTCTTCTGTGACTTGAATTGGTCCACAGTATCGGTATTGTTTTAATCATATTTTTCACTGATCACTTTTTAAAAATATGTTTCTTTTATTCAAATAACTTCACATGGTTGTCTCTTTTTGAATGACATTGTCTCCATACGCACACGTCTTGTTGACGTCACAGAATTGCTTGAGGGCGTGGCAATATTCTAGTTCGTTAACCGAAACATATTCCTAAAAAGTCGTTTATTTGTCTGGTCACCTTATGGCAATCAAGTCCATGTCATTGACAATTATATTACTAATAGATGGACACATCTGTTACTTCATGTTGCAACCAGTAAATGTCACGAACAATCACACAAATTCAAATGTAGTTGACCATACCTGCATGTATTATGGTAGACAGCTTCTCGTTGAATATAAAAAGAAATATTATTTTATATCGTAACTCACTAAATTAAATCCAAATCCAACATTAAGATTCATCTAAATAACAATATAATGATTTTCAGTCGTGTCACTAAGCAATATTGTCACGATTTGAAGAAATACTTTCGTCACAGAAATCAATGCAAAGCATTAGTTATTCTTGTTTTCCCCAAAAAATGTTACATCGTGACGGAGAAACCATGAAAACATTTTTCAATTTGTACTGTCAGTGTTATGCATGTTATCGAACTGTTTGTACTACTTCGCTCATGCACTAGAGGAAACGTTCTCAAAATCTACATTGCGCATGAATAATTAAACAATTTACATATTTTCACTATTTTCTAGGGCTGTGTGACGTACCTAAAGGCATTCATCAAAGATAACATATACAACGTTGGTGGCGCTGTCATCGGCATAGCCGTTCTCCAGGTAATCACTTTAGTACATTCATACATACACAATTTTCCGAACAAACTGACGACACGCGAAAAATAAATTCGCTATACAAAATAACACTAAGTCATAATGGATTGAAAATTTACGTGATTAATAAATGTTAATTTTTCTTATTTTTAGTTGCTTGGACTTATCTGCGGGACCTGGTTATGCTGTGCTGTGAAGAAAGACTGACCTTTGACCTTGAACCGACTGTCATTACAATAACGCGTAGACCAGAACTTTCTACGCAACAACTACTTTATGTAAATTAGATAACGTTCTGTTATATTGAGACCATTTTCCAACTGTACGCTCCTTGAACTAAATTTCTTTCATATCAAATAATGTTATTGCGATTTATTCACCCAGTTACTCTGTGGATTTCGGTCATAGAAGTGTGCCCCAAATGTATACAAGTATTAGTATGTGGATAGTAAGTCTCGGACTAACTCGGATCCTGCCGATCCTGCCTCTGATCGAGGTAACGCGCCCTCTACCGGGCACTGTGAGCTCGAATGGGACAGCTCGAGTTATGACCATTTTTTTTATTTTTCCATTTTTTTTTATACAATATTAAGTATTAGATATTTTGAACAGATATTAAATGATATATATTTCTAAATCAGAACAAAACGTGGCACACGAATGTAAAGGACATTGTTTTTACGCAAACAACTTTGTTCACGTGCATGAAAGTTGTTCACTAATGACAACAGAAAGCATTCACTTTAAGACGATAAGCATTTTTTTTATATCCGCAGTAATTATTTCAACCCTTGTTTGTTGTGGTTAAATCTTTGAACATGCAACGCAATCAAGTCAGTGAGTTCATAACTATCCCTTCTTGTGTGTAAATCATGATAATGAAATGTCTTCCTTCGCTAAGATAAGGTTGAATGATTGACTGTTAATGTGTACGCGTCACATTCGTAGCCATGACAATTAGTATGTTACGCATTTTGTAATACTAGTATGAAAGTTCTCAGTTGTTTCATTATCGTTGTTGTTACTTTTTACGTGTAATTTACAAAAGTATATTTTATATAAGGATATCAATTAAAACAATACTTCGTTTTGTATCTTTTTAAACAGTTGAATACGATATGTGTTTACTCTCAGGTCCACAGAAAGATTGCCAGGTGTACAGCTCGAGAGATATTTCATCCATCATGCCATATGCAGGTGCAAAACTGTTGCCATGGCGATATATTCTTTACACAAACGAATGATTCCCCATATACTAGTAATTAATATAATGGCGATGACAAACCTGTGATAGTGTAAACAGAAAAAAAGTAAATATGTGGTTTCACGTTGGAAAATAAGGCATACTTCAGGCTAAATTTCGTGTGTGAACACGAAGCTAAATATTTAGGCTGATTCTGAGGCCTAAATAAGTCATGCCTGGGAAGGGGTCATAATCAATTCTCGCCAAGTGCCGGATTACGTAATCGCCACTCATTTTGACTAAATATGCAAATTAGGTTCATGGCCTTTGTTGCGCAGTCTCAAAAAGTTTCACTTTCGCACCAATGATGGCTATGAGAAAAGTCACTTGGGCTGCCGAGGAAACAAAATTATTGATCATTATATGGAAGGAAGACCAAATTCAACACCGACCTTTTCAGAAGACTGTTTGTCAGGAATATTGGATGGTTTACTCCGGTTCTGCGTGCGTTTCACAACAAGGCTGAGTGGCCTGGTGAGTATCCTGAACGCATGCGCAGTGAATAGTTTTCAGCCTCCGTGGCTTTATACAAAATAGAGATAATGTTATATAACAATGGTGGTGAATTCGAGAAGTGGTTGTGTGATTGATACATTACAATTGAAAGCCAGTGATGACGTATGTACGCTGGGTCAGCAGATTATTACCAATAGCCGAATATTTGTGTCAAATTCTTAATAATCAAAATATTTGATATTTATCATAAAAACGTTTACTTCCAAATTCCTGTCATATTTGTTTTCTTGCGGCTAACAAATACAAATATATAGAAATTTTGAAAGGAAATTCTATCAATCTTTATCAAATAAATAACAAGAAAGAAATATAAATCCGAAATTGTTGTCATGGAAATAACGACATTACAACACTCCCGCCGCATTAAATGTCGGATCTGAAAATAACCAAAATGCATACAATATATATGTATTTTTTTTGTATAACGAATTCTTTGCAATAGTTACACGCCATCTGTGGCACTTAAAATGCATTAAGTCAGTATTTTTGTTGGATGTTGTTATGTGTTCAATGGTGTTCACATTTTGGTTGCAGACACTTTGGTCATCCTATTGAGTACTAGTACATAACATTTTCAAAAAACATTGTTTTGCCACTTTACAGTTATGCAGAGTTGCCATGATTGGTTTGATTGTGTGGGTGTTGGTTTAGACTCAGACTACTAGTTCTAATGTGCTATTCTATACTTTCAAGTTTTTTTTATATTTATTTGCCATGCACTGAGAACAATGGCAACATACAGTCATGGAGATACCATTTATGATAAACGGTATTGTTGTTCAGTTCCCCCAGAATATTGGTGGCAACAAAGACTACATGAACGAAAGAATTACTGGTACTTGTTTTGATGGCTGGCAAAGAATTACTTTTTTGGTCAATGTTTGAAGTCTGGAAGAATTCTGTGATAGTAAAATTGATAGCGTTATGTACGTTGTTTCTGGTATGACAGGAATACAGGTACGCTATATGTAATACAAATTCTCTGAATGCTACTGCCAGTAAAGATTGTAAAGTTGTCTGCATCATTTATACGTAACGTATTCGAAAATCATGTACGGGCGACATATTTTGTCTGGCGTGTTATTTATTTTTTCTCTTTTTTTTTTAAACTTGACTGGACTTACCTCGAATGCTGGCTGTGCTACACGACCGACAGAGATAAATGTTTAACCCCAACAGAGGTGCACATAGTTGAGGCACAGCTGCTCAGTGAGTTTGCCTGTGTGTCTCCTACTGAATGGAATTACTAGTATGTTAATACTTCTACTTTAATATCAACAACAATAAAATTAAAACATGGCACATCTCTTTTCAGGTTATGCCACCCACATTGCTTTACATTTTCTGTACAACGATACTGAGTCAGTTTTATTATTGAAATTATAATGAAATGGATTTTCATTTACAATTCAGTTGCAAATAATTCTCAAGCAGGACACACGATTTTCTCAATTAAAATCATGGTCATGAAGTCAGAAACAAAGTTGTACATTCCAAACATTCACCTCATATTCGGAGAATGTCGAGTGTACGAAATCGCTCATTATTTTTACTTATATTCTCGAGATGAGAATGAAGGTGGCACAGTCTTTCAATCACGTGATCAGTCACGTGGCCGTATGAGGCACTAAACACAATGTGCTTACGATGGTATTTTTCGTTTCGTAATAATTTTTCGTCTTTAATTTTGCTATTTTCACTGATGGTAAGCAAAATCCACTAAATTGAATCCACATGAACATGTAAATAACAGTAGAACTCATTATTTCGCTGGCAATTTCGTGAACTTAAAACCCAGTGAAATTAAATGTCAGTGAAAATAAATTCTGTTACAGTATTTCCATGTGAAAATATCATTGTTGTAAACTTTTTATGGTTTACTTTTGTAATTCCATTTGCGTTCACGGGGAACCTGACAAAGTATACAGTTTTTTTTTTTTTGTCTTTTATAATTTTTTTTTTCATTCATATATTTTCCCAAAAAAGTACATTACTTCAAAATAATCTTACATGTCAAAAAGATATACAAAAAGATAATTAACAACATAAAATGAAGCAAAGTATACAGTTTGTTTTAGGATAACTAGGCTGGGTTATAATGAGCTGTCTTGTGCGCCTAGAAACAGTTTTGAAAAGTCCATGGATCAATGAAAACTCTGAATAGTAAGAATAGAAAACTAACAAAAGTGCAATTTAATATCGATGTGTTAATAAACATTTGTGTAAATGGCGATTTAGTCAGTCCTAGAGCGCCACCAAGTCGATTCCCACACGCTGACAAAAAATACCCTTAACACCGGGATGTGTTGTCCGAGTAGCACAGACAGCTTAGTAAATATGTATCCATTTAACGCCAACTTACATACTTCAACGTTTGTCTGTTAATCGCTCGGAAACATTGTTCAGAATGCCTCATATTTCTAAATACCATTACCATAGCAACGCACGTTCGATTGTCAAGTTCAGTTTCACGACATGAAATATTTCAATATAATGTTTAATAAGCGATTCATAGCCGTATACTGGTGTGAGGCATTCAGGATATAAAGACGAGAATAAGTTCGAAACGCGTTCCTAATGATATTCAGAAGATATCATCGTTGTTCAAATTACGTCTAGTGTGTACTTATCGCGGTGGTTCGGGATTCAATAATCAACCGTCACGACACGGTTAATGACACCTTGATTGAAACTACCTGTGTTCACACATGAGAACAAACATATGACTTACACAATGAATAACAGTAAATATGGAATAAATCCGTTCACTGCAAATCCAGTCCTATGTTCTTTGTAACATCAAATTTAAAATCATGCGAGATTCGATTTTTGCTCATATATGTCCTGATAATGTAACCTGGGTTGAGTCAAGTTGCATTTCAGTCACATCTCCGGTTGTTATAGCGTGCAGACCCCTAGATACCGTCTATTCAAGTATCCATATATTTGTAAATATTTACGTACGTACAACCAAACAATACAGATATTTGCAACGACCCGTAGGTATTGTTATATGTGTCTATTGTTATTAAAATATAATGGTTCTCTTCGACCCTGAGGGGAAACATCGATCGATATAATGTTGTGTCCGAGTCGGCGGTGAGGGCATTTCTCGTCTGTGAGATGTTTGTACTTTGTCCCATTTCCTTTTCTGGCCATTGTGATTAAGGATTCAATTTATTTTAAGGTCACAAGATACACCTCCAAATGCATTGTATCGACAGTGTTACGTCACATGACCTGTTAAAGAGGGGTCCAATATGCATAGGACAACGCACGGGAGTGTAATCGTTCAGACAGACAGACAGACAGACAGACAGACAGACAGACAGACAGACAGACAGACAGACAGACAGACAGACAGACAGACAGACAGACAGACAGACTTGTCCGAGTATTTTTTTATATCTGAACGATACAGCAACGATACGCAACAGAGAGTGTAATACTTGTAATACGTTCATCACGTCTGGACTCGGAGATTGTACTGGCAAATCACGTCAAACTGATTACGTTTGGGTGCATTCAGAACCTTCCAGAAGTTCTACTCTCATTTAACAAATGGTGTATAATCTTTCTGTCAGTTTCCACCAAAGGCATTCTGGGGGATATTATTTGTGTGAAAAGAACATATTTGATATGTTAACAGCAACGTCTTCACGGCTGACCCCTGACCCCTGACCGCATCACATTGTTGGTTTACTTAAGATAATGCTGCCATTAAAAAAATCACAGTAAATCATACACTTCTGGTGATTAACATACTTGCAAGTCATTCGTTTTTAACGTTTTTACGGATCAAGAAAGATGTGCTTCCAGAGAAAACATATGCAAAACATTCCAAAAAGCAGTCATTATGAAACATTTGGCATAGGAATCTATGT